GGTATGATATTCTCTTTCTACCTTCAGTGAACGTTGGTAGTGCATCGACAGTGAACGTCGGTGTTTCTTATCTGTTTGCTATCATCAGTGAATGGTGATAGTTCATCGTTAGTGAACGGCGATGGTATGATATTTTCTCTCTACCTTCAGTGAATGTTGGTAGTACATCGGCAGTGAACGTCGGTGTTTGTTATCTTTTTGCTATCATCAGTGAACATTGATAGTTCATCGTCAGTGAACGGCGGTGGTGTGATATTTTCAAATCTTCCTTCAGTGAACGTTGGTAGTGCATCGGCAGTGAACGTCGGTGTTTCTTATCTTTTTTCTATCATTAGTGAATGTTGATAGCCCATCGTCAGTGAACGGCGGTGGTGTGATATTTTCTTTCTACCTTCAGTGAACGTTGGTAGACATCGGCAGTGAACGTCGATGCTTGTTATCTTCCTCTCTGATTCAGTTCTTTTGGTCCACCAGTGATTTATTTTCCTTGTGGGGTTTCTCCTTTGTTTCTTCATTTTTGTGGCATCCCCGGTGTTACTTTGCGTCTCTTTTGTTTTGTCCATCTGCATTCATAATCATAAGCATTGCATGGCATCTTAGGGACAAAAATAGGGCTTGTTTTATATTTAAGTATCTTCAATCACGTCGACACGAAGATTTTTAACCTTCGTATCTCCGGATAGAAGACACTTAAATAAAGGTAGATGTTGTACCCCAATTTTTGCCCCTAAGATTCCTCTATCATATCATATCAACTCGATCATAACAAGATCACATTAGGGTTGGTTCTTCCTCTTTTTCTATCTCCTATCTTTAAGTTTGCTCTTGAGGAATCTCCAAGCACCTTGGTTGTGTATTTTGTATATGTGTTATTGACTAACTTCTAATCAAAATACAAAAAAAACATTTGTCTTTGTCTTTGTATATTTTTGTTTTGTAGGTACCAAGTCGAAGCATCTGACAAATAAGGATTTCTGGTATCATTTTCCTAAAATCTCTATTTGCAAAGAAAAAGAATTAAAATTTTTCATTTTTTTCACTGATGCAATCGATTGCTCTTAGAGTGCAATCGATTGCACATAGTGCATTTTGCGCCATTTTTGAAAAAATACACAGTGCAAATCGATTTGCACTGTAGTGCAATCGATTGCACAACGTGAAAATTTGAAAAAAATCAGCAATTTTAAACATGTCAAATTTTGGCTCCAATTTTCCTTCATTTTTGAAAGATGTACCATTAATTCAAATTTTAGTGCCAATCTTTCATTTTTAAGAAGAATTATCATTAATTCAAATTTTGGCTCTAATATTTGAAAGAGTTATCATTAATTCAAATTTTGGCTCTAATATTTGAAAGAATTACCATTAATTCAAATTTTGGCTCTAATATTTGAAAGAATTATCATTAATTCAAATTTTGGCTCCAAGAATCAATTACCAAATTACCACTAATCCCAATCCTAAACTCTATAAATAGAGCCCTCATTTCATTCAAATTTCAAGCTTTTGATAGCCAAATCCACCTTGCTAAAAAATCTCTCAATTCTCTCTATCTACCAAATTCACTCAAAGCTCCATTTTCAAAAAGTTAGTAAGCTTTGCATTGAAGCTTACTAATCTTTGAGCTAAACCTTCATCCAAACACTTTTTCTCCATCAATTCTCTACATCCAAGCTTGGTCAATTGATTCTTGTGGTTGAATTGAAGCAAATTCTTGAAGTTGTTTTGATAATTCTCTAGATCTACCTTTGGTAAGTTGGATAATTCATTTTTCACAATGTGATCTCTTGTTGATCTTTGGGTTCGATTCTTTGAGAATTATTTTGTGATTCTAATGGTGTTATTTTCTCATAATTTGATGGAATTTTCGTGCTCAATTGGATCCATGATCATAAGGTGTTTGATGGAAAGTTTGAACAACAAATTGGCCTTTTAAAATGCTGTTTTTGCTACTGTAACAGTGTGCAATCGATTGCAGTAACTGTGCAATCGATTGCACAGAAGAGTTTCACACTTTTTTTTTTGAAAATAACACTGTGTAAATCTATTGCACAGGGACATAATGCACTTTTTTTGCCTTGTTTTGGGGCAACTTTGATCCAAAATACTTTTTCTACTCACTCCTTTTGATTGTTGGTTTGGATTGCAATTTTAAATGTCCAATTTGTCTTTAAACTCAATGGACTTTGTGATGTAGATGAAGTTGGATAAATGTTCATCAATTCAAATCTACCTAAGAGTGAATTATTTAATTCATTTTTGGTGCTTTGGATTAATGATATGTTTAGTGCTTTAATTCATCTAGAGGAGTGGTTGAATTTAAATATGAAAGTATTCTGAAATGGTGATCCAAATTAGCTTATCATTCCCCTCCCTCTTCATCTTATCCCTTTCTTTTTTTTATTGTGCTACATGTTAAGGGATGGTGATATCTATATCATTTATCCAAACATGAAGTACATAAATTGCTATTGACCGGCCTCAAAATAGGTGCAACTTCTACATAAGTCCACTTACGATTGCTTAACATAGCGCTAAATTTTGTCCCGATTCGAATAAATGATCATCCGTGGCCCAAACTTATGATTGCAAGCCCAAGTATGTTAATTTGATCTCTTTGATCTAATAACCTTAAGATTCATTGTGTGGAGGCTTTGGTTCTACCAATCCTCTAATGGATCTACAACACCCTTGGTCAACGCGGATCACTTAAACATCGTTGATCATTAAATGTTACTTTTTGAGGATTCCAAAATGGATGATATACTTGACAAAAAGCAAATGCAACTTGTTGTGTGGAGGTTTTGGTTCTACCAATCCTCTAATGAGTTCCAAATGCAAGTTTCAAGATAGTCATCCAACTAACCACTAATTTCTAACAATTGACTTTATCTTATGCTTTATTATTTTCTATGCTTTATGTACTATTTACTTTAAGCATTTACATTTCATGCCATTTTTATTTTGCTTACTTGAGCATTTACTTGTATGTATTTTTTTTATTTTGCTCACTTGAGCTTTTCTTTTCCTTTTAAAGACACCTAATAATCAACATGAACCATAAAAATCTTTAATGATACTTGGACTATTTGGTTACTATCCTTGGCATTATGGAGCATTGGACTTCTTGGACTTAGGATTAGAGACCTCGGCCTATCTTGGAGACCTTGTGATTTTATTTGATATTTTTTCTGGAGTTCTTGAGGTTTACCTCAAGACATTGGGTTGTTTGTTTGTTTTGTGTGCAGGTTATTGTGATTACATACTTTGTTTGTAATTTGGAATTCACCCGTATACAGCCGTTACTCTGCCCAATTTTTGAAGAAGATTTAATACACCTAAAGTTTGGTTCTCTCAAGAGGTCTAGTATCTTTGCTTGCTTGGTTTCAATCCAAAGAATGGGAATTCTATATTGACTCACAATGTCAAGTATTGGCTTCTTGTTGGTTAGATGGTTCTTATCCCTAGCTTTTACCTTATGCTTTAGTATAGCCTCTTCTTCTCCTCCCATCTTCTTTAATTTCAAAAAAATATATTCTCCCTCTTTTTAAAAATAAAAAAAACTCTTCTTATTCCTAAACTTGAAATACTTTCATAATAAACTTGGACTTAGGTCCATGCATTTTCAAAACATTTTCATAAATAAATTTCAATCAATTTAATAATACCTTGACATTTTTTATGAGAAGACTAAAAGTCAATCAATCTCATTTCAAACCATCTTTGCCACCTTGGCTTTTATCTTTAAAACTTTTCTCAAAAGGTTAGACTCTTGTTAATCCTTGTAGTGATGCAAACAACTATACTTCTACAATATATAGTGAAGAGAGATATTTTCCACTTGGGTGTTGAGTGAGGCATTGTTGATTTTAAAATCCAAGCCATATCCTCCACTTTGAGATGATGCAAATTCTCCTTTCTCATGATTGTGGATAGTAAGTATGTTTTCCACACGGACAATGACGATGATGTCTTATCTCATAAAATTAACCAACACACTTGTGTTTCAATATTTTTTTTAAAAAGAGGAACTACGTGTACCCTGATCCCCTATTGCATGAAAGGTGGTACGTAGGCACTAAAGGTTCGCAACCGCGGCAGGTGCAAAAATCATTAAAAAATATTTCTTTTCTCACCTCCACCATCCATTTTTTATATAACACATTTTTATAGCCAAAATATACAGATTTTTCAAAGAGGTTCCTGCGGAGTACCGTAGATGTTTAGGGTGCTAATACCTTCCCTTTGCATAACCAACCCCCTTACCTTGAATCTTTCCCCGCTTTTTTGGGTTATTCGCTCGTTTCCCATTTCTTTGCAAACAATAAAGCGCGGTGGCGATTTTTATTCTGATTTGTATAAAGTCTAGTCAATCCAATGGCTTAGTCTTGAACATTTCTACCGCTACACCACTCTATTATTTTTATTTAATTCAGTTCAATTGAAAAAGGATTAGGTAAAGTGACCGTGACGATCTGTCTTCCAGGCACAAACTCCCTTTTTTCTCTCTTAAATTCCAGTGAAATATCTGCCGGTCGGAAATCGCTTCCGGCGGTGGATCAAGCCTAAAAGTATTCCATCCAAACCAAATAAGACCGTCCTTTCTTCCTCCTTCCAACCATCTGATTCGTTTTCGTTCATTCTCCAATTCCACTTCCAATCTCCTCAAACGTAGGGAAAACTAATGAAACCCTAGGAGTTTTAAACCGCAATTAAACGATAATGGTGTCGAGTTGAATATTGAGGCGTTAAGGAAATTATTTAGCAAGCCAAGATGTATGACATGGTGACAAGCTCGATTCAAATAAGTGAAGAGATGAGGAGGATCGGAGCTTACCTACCAGAGTAACTCTGGCGGTTCTTGATTTTGACAATGGAGTGGAAGTGAAGTCTGAAGATACATATTCTGGTATTAGCTCGCATTTCCTTTACTTCTGTCATAAATCTTCTTCTTTCTGCTTCTCTAATTTGATTATGATTTGCGCTTTTCTGTCGCGTCTATGTTATACTGGAGCTGTTGCGAATCAAACTGTTACATTGAAGATGAGAGTGATGATGAACACGGTGATGGACGTTGCAGATCTGCGATGAAGATGCACGAGGAGGTGAAGATGGAAACTAAAGAAAACAATGAAGAAGATGATGAAGGTGATGATGAGGTTGTAGGGATGAAGAGTAGTCATTTTTGTGTTGCATATAAATATGATAGAGATATTGATGCGGTTCAGAGAGAGAGGTTGAAAGGTGAATCTTGAATTCTTCTTGTATTTTCTGTTATGAAAATCCCCGTCTATTCTTTGAACGAATTCTGTTATACATCTCCAAAAGTTTGTTATAGATTATTGGATCTCAACCACTGGATTGAATGAGTTGATTACAAAATGGAAAGTGGAGATCGATTTTGTTACAAGGTCTTGAAGGTTAGTTATTTTTCGTTTTCTTTTTCTTATGTCAACTGAATCGTGAATCCCCCCCTTTGTTATTTTGTTACAACTTTTTGTATATGTCTCTTTATGCTGTCAAGCTCTTTTAGTACTTGGACTTTTGTCTGTTCAGCCACTTCTGCTTGTTTTTTGTATTTTGGGATCTCCTCATTTTCTTTATCAAGTTCCTGTTCAACTAGAATGCGCCTCTCCACAGTCTGGATTCTATGAGCCTTTCAGTCCACAATTCCTCCAAACTTAGAAACAACTTCCTTGACAGATTCAAATGGAGGTGTGGTATTAATAAGCCTTCTTTTTATATTAACAATCTTGGTTTGAGAGGGTGAGTCAACTGCTCCAACAACCATCTTTACTTGATTGTGATCATTTAAAAAAAAATTGTTTCAGAAGAAAAATCAGAAAGTCTAATCTCATTATCAACAATAGCATTAGTAACATCAACCCGCAATTCATGCTTGTCAGAGATATCTTCTGTAACACCTGGTCCAGAATCTTCAAACAACATTAGTTGGTTGCTTCTTTCTGTTAAATTCGCCTTATCATTTGGGATTGAAGCTGAATTAGCTACAGAAACATCTTCGTCTGGTATTATAGTGTGACCATCAGAAGCATCTGGCAACACTGATAACTTTGCGAACTCATGCACTTTTAAGTGAGAGCCATAATTCACTTCTCCCTTACCAATTGGAATTTTTGTAGAAGATTGATTATATGGTAGGTTTATCACTACAATATTTTCTTCAGAGGGATCTGTAAGTGGTGTCTCAATAATATTTGTAGTGCCATTAAAGAGTAGAATGTTTTCAACATGTTCTGCCACTGGTGTTAATTCGAAAATTTTGAAGAACATTAAGAAGGTAGCACGTCTTCAACATGTTTGGACAGTTTATTAGTTGTTAGCATATTTTCTCTTCACTTTTTGTTTTGGTTTGAAAGCATTTTTCTGATTTTCTGATACAGGGATGCGGTTATACATTAAATTGAATAGGGCGTCAAGTTTATTTGGTGAACTGTTTTGGTATGAACAAGTTTATTGATGCAGGTCAAATTGCTTCAAGTTTTTGAGATATTTTATTAGTTGGTAATTTGGATTTATTTTGTGATGTTAATTTCTGAACTGAATTTTCAATTGTGCGCAGGGTTGTTTCTTGATGGAAATTTTAACAAGCTTGCAAGTTTGGGACCTGTTAGGCAAGGATCTTGGAGCCTGTTACGAATCTTAAAATGATGATGGTTCAATGAGCATCCATGTGAAATGAGAGATTGGCCGTGGGGTTTTCTTAGAATTTAGGCCAACCTCTGAATTTTAGTACCTTAGGAATCATGAACAGTACTAGTAAATCTCTACTTTTGTTCAATATTTCAAGATGTAATGGTGATTTGTAATGGATCATGGCCTTGGGATAGTAGTGTGGCTTGAAATGAAAAGGACATGAACTTGTAATGAGAACTTATTGGATGTAATGAATGGTTCCTGAATAAACTTTCCATCCAATTTGCATTTGAATACTAAGTTTTTCCTTAATTTTTTCATATAAAATGAACCATGATGCAGGATGGATGACTTGAACTCCGAATTTGAAAGTTTTTCTCTTCTTTTATTTAAACCTTACTACTTGTTTCAGGGGAACAAAACCTCCAAACTAGCATGCTTTAGCCAATTTTAAATCCTTTAAATGAATCGACTTGAATCCACGACATGAATCCATAGCAATTCAATTCTTTAATCCCCATCAATCTTGTATAATAAACAATAAGAGAATCAACACGAATTGATCTTAATGAATTCACAACACCATCCTTATATCATGCCTTGCTATCCAATGAACATCTAGTGAAAATGTTGATAAACCCACATATGATAGGATATAAACCCTAATCTTCCTGAGGTATATGCTGAATGAAGACACAACTTATCATCAAAGACATAGTTCACAATCTTCTCAATCAGAATCACTGGCGAGAAAGAAATAAGTCTTCAATGGTCACCATCACAAACCCTAGCTCCTCATACCAATGTTGATGAAGGAATATGTTGATGACCCTTGAATGGAAAGGGAAACCTCAAAGCCGAAGAAACCCTAATTTTCCAATTCAATTCTTGGAGGAGAAATAGACGAATCAACCTTATTCGATATGTGCATCTCAAAACAATATGAAACCCTTAGCTTGCATGATCATTGAACTTTTAAACCTCAAGTGCCTTATTGAATGTAAATGTATGCCATGTTAGTGACCTAATAGAATATATGTATATGATGATGTGTAAACTAGATAAAAGTGAGAGGGTGGGACAGATTTGGGGTATTACAAGGTGGACGTGGCGGCACCTGCCCCATGGATCCAAGGGCGTCCCAATAGACAAGAATAAGCTGGCCGGATGTCCATCACATAGAAGGTGGACTCAAATATTTGTGAACCCACTTTGATTAGAAGGTCCACTTATCCATGCACCATTCTTCTGGCCCCATCAAAGGCTCGGACTATGATGTTACTGGGCTTCAGCACAACCCTTTCACAATCTAGTCTGTCAAGAGCGCCTTATGCAGAACATTTAGAGAAGAGTCAGTATCAATTAACACATGAGCCAACATAGTGCCCCTGCATTCCATGGAGACATACATGGCCCTATTATGATTCTTCCTTCCGGAGTTAGGTCAGCATCGGAGAAGCCTAATCCATTACCAGTTGTCAAACTAGCCACGTAACTTCCAAATTGATCAGCCGAAATTTCTTGCGACACATGAGTATTCTTTAGGAATTTTACTAAAGCCTGTGCATGGGCTTCAAAACACAGCAGTAAAGATAACATGGAGATTTTGGACGGGGTCTGCCCCAGCTGTTCAACAATTTTATAGTCGCTTCTGCGAATGATCTTTAAAACTTCTTCCACTTCTTGTCCAGAGGTTTCCTTGGTTGTGGCTTCTTTGGGTGTATCCGTCTGGGCAGGCTCTATCATTGGATCTTTACCCCGAACCTCGGCAGTTGACTTAGTAACTATGACTTGAACAGGAGGAATGATTTCCTAAAAGAAAATTCTTCCACTTCTAGTAACTTTGCTGGTCCCCGCAATATTGATAATGTTGGGATCAACCTCTTCATCATCTTCATCAGATAACTCTTATTTAATGTCGTGGTAATAGACGTCAGACCCATAATTCCATTGAATATCCTTTTCCGAGGAATATGGGATGGGCCCAGGTGTCGTAATGATTAAAGGAGCAGCTTTTGGATTGACGGTAATCTTTACAGGACCCTTGGAAGTGATCCTGAAAGGAGTACCAGATACGACAGAAAAATCTTGGCATAATTTCTCACCATACGAAACTTTCTCAATCAAAATTATATATTCATCCATCAGACGATGAACGCCTTCCTTCAATAACCCGCAACCATTGGGTTGGACTGCACAACAATAACATCCTTTAACGCAATCCGAAAATAAACCGGCTTGTAACAAATTCTCTTTGATTGTTGAGAGAGGAGTAACCACATCACTTACGGAGGAAACATACAAAACATCTTTAATAGCACGTATGCCTTTGTCATGCTTAGGCATAGGTGCAATAATCACGTTTAGAGTCTCCAGATGATCGAACTCAATTTCCTTACTATGGATCATATCCTGAATCTTGCTTTTCAGGGCCCAGCAGTTGTTGGTGTCGTGCCCAGGACTGTTCAAATGATAGGTACACCTCGCATTTAGATTGTACTTTGGAGAGGATGTGTTGGGATTCTGAGAAGGATCCCGCAGTGAAATGAGTTCAGCCTTTAACAAATGTTGTAATACCTGAGATAAAGGCATGTCGATCTTGGTAAATTGTCTTAATGGAGAGTCTGATCTTCGTCGGTTACCCTGTTGTTGTTGTTGTTGTTGTTGTTGAACAGGCGCCGAATTAGAAATCAATACTGCTCCCACAGATTGTTGGCGGTCATTTTTGCTACGGATCTTCTGGCCATAGACAACATTGGTTTCTTTTTTCCACCGAATGGCTTCTTCATATCATTAGAAGATGTAGCCATCGAAATCTTCCCACTTTTAATAGCACTTTCAACTCTTTCCCTAGTCAGAATCAGCTCCGTAAAACCAGACAATGAACTTCCAATCAACAGATTAAAGAATGGGCCCGTCAGAGTGCCCATGAACATACCCACCAATTCTAGGTCAGTCAAAGGAGGTTGCACCCTTCTAGCTAAATCCCTCCATTTTTGTGCATATTCCTTGAACCCTTCATTCGAGCCCATGGACATATTTTGCAATTGCACTCGAGTAGGTGCCAAGTCAGCATTATATTGATATTTCTTGTAAAAAGCAGCAACCAAGTCTTCCTATGTGTGAATGTTGGTTCCTTCGAGCTGATAGAATCATTCAAGTTGAGTTCCAACCAAACTCTCTTGAAAGAAATGGACCCATAATTTATGGTCAGCAGTGTGAGGTTGGATCTTTCAAACATACGACCTCAAATGGAGTTTAGGACAAGAGACCCTATCATATTTAACAAAGACGAGGACCTTGAACTTGTGAGGATGACCATCCCCGGGATCAGACCTTGTCGTACCCCAAATTTTCCCTACCTTTTTTTACTTTTGTCTGGCTTTGAACTTTGCATCCCATTTGCATCATTTTTACTAAGTCGTTCGCATATCCCGCATCTCATGGAATCAGGTGCCTTGGTTTGAGGTATTAGGGTTGTGCCCTATTTATGTCTAATTTTGTTTTGAAGTTCTCTCATCAGGTTAAGGACAGGTTCATCTGGGTCTTGAACGGTGAATCGTGGAATGAAGTTCTGAGTTGTCATAGATTTCTTTCTCATCAAGTTACAAGTCTGTTTCTCACTCGAATTCATCACAGCCTGGAAAAGGGTTTATTTCCCTATTGTTTGGCAAAATGCTGGGTTTTTGGATCCCTGGATTTTTGTGACACGTTTCTTTCGCCTTCCTCAAGGATAACTCAAAGTCAAGTACATTTGGTTAGGGATTTCATCTCCTTGCACTTCAAGTTTTCTTCTTATGATCTCTAAGTCATCGAGTCGAGAGATTGAAGTTTAAGTTGACGAATGCGGAATTTGGGAATAAGAAATAAGATGGGAGGTTCATCATAATCAAGGCATTGTTTTTGTTGCTTCAGTTGCAAGCTACCGGTGATTTGGATATCAGAATTACGGTTCTCATTGAGAGTGAAAGTGGGGTTTGGACATGATATGAAGGTTGGGAATTAAAAGACAAGTTACGAAGTGAGGAGTATTATTCAAACCATTCAAATGGAAATTGCTATTGTTAATCAATATTCAAGAATTTGTTTGATTTCCATACAATAAATTCATCATTCATAAAATTCACTCTAGTTTTGTGTTCAAGTTACATTTTTGGACAATTTGCAAAAGGGATTACAATGCAAAACATAAGTTGAAATACAAGTTATATTTGTTAGTTTACAAAAAAAAAAGAAATAAATGTTGGTTTCTTCAAGTCTCTTTGCTTCATCTTCAAGCCACTCATCCACTCCTCGCCATGGCCTCTTCGTCTTTTAACCTTGCCTTGATCGTCCAATTCTCGTGTTCATGAAATAAAAAAAAGGAAAAAGTTAGCAATAATCAACATGTGAAAATTTTCAAACAATTATATGTTAAATAAGAAAGCTCATCATTAGGGTTTGCATTTGCAATCAGAATTTAAAAGGGGTTTGTTTTATCATGGGCTATAACCTCCTACTTTTGCAAATCACAGAAGGTGTGGGTTTTGGTTCACAAAAGGGAAAAGAAATGTGCAAATATTTTTAAATTGCTATACAACAAAACAAACTGCCAACAACATCAAAACAGCAAGCGCCCAAGCTAAACACAAAAGAAA